GTGATAATCTGTGAACAAAACGTATCAAGGTAAGGAGTTGTGTCTAATTTCCAAACAAAGTTATAACTTTTGTTTAATTTAGGAGCTGTCTAATTTCCAAATTAACCAATCAAATTGTTCTAAGCTATGTCTAATTTAGAATCTAATTTCCAAACTAGCAAAATTAACAATGTCTAATTTAGAATCTAATTTCCAAACAAAACAAAGGTTCACACACCTTAGTTCGAGGTACAAGTACTCCTTTATAATTGATTTTAGAATGACTAAAAAACGCTTTGTCAGAGTCTTCCTCTTCAGAGATTTGAAAAAACACCTGAATTGATGAGNAAATAAACAAATCTTAATCTTAAGTTCACTAAGACAAAGAACAATTGAAATATCTTACCTTTGCCAAAAAAATGGTTTCATACTCAGATTTAGGCTTGGCAATTATTTTTAATGGAATACCAGGTGTTACTGTCTTTGTTGCTGTCTTCGTTTTTCCTTCATTTAAGATATTCAAAACTCCACTGGCTTTAAATATATTGAAGATACCTTTTGACTCTTCCCTTGATAAATTTCCAGAACATACAGCAACAAGACTACAAAGTGAAATTTAACATTTAAATGAATCTGCATAGATGGATGATAAACAAATTGAAAGAAAAAAACCAATGCTACAAAAAAGAGTAATTTACCTTAGAGGAGAAATTGATGTGTTGGACATCCTCGAAAGTTATCTTTTTCAGCCAGTCCAATTTATCATCCAAGGTAATGTCCTCTGTCAATGTATTGGACAACAACTGAAAAGCTTGTACATTGAGCACTCGTGATATGAATTCACTCTGCATTTTATCCTAATCCGAACACATACACTATTAAAACAAAAAAAAAACGTTGATAAATTATGAGAATCTGAAAAACATCCTTTTTTCTCTGTGATTTTTAGGTTTCTCGACAAAAGAGAGAATGAAGAAGCAAAAGGCGACGTGGAGGCTCATGAGAGTAGAATTGTTTTTTGTTTTCTTAATTTTGATTGGTTGTTGAGAA